ATTTTCCTCCTGCTACATATTCACCATCATATGTACTATAATTCAATTTATTATTTTATTATTAGAGTTTTACTTGCTTCCAATGTTGTCAATAGTAGTATATGTATTGCTCCTCTATGGTTCTGTTTCCTCAGGAGAGACTCCTGGGAGTGGAGATTACTGGATCAGAGGGATGAACCTGTTTGAAAACTCCAGACCCAGAAAGCCTGCCTGTATTCGTACACAACCAGCATGGATGGAAGAGCCCCCACCCCACCAGCCGCACTTGCATGGCTGTTTTTAAAACTGATTTTACAGCAGCAAAAAAGTATTGCACTGTTGTTTTAATTTATTCTTAGTAAGGCTGGTTATTTAAATGTTTATCGTGAATTATTACCAACTGTCTTTTAGCCTTTTTTTTCTATTGGTGTATTTCCCGTTTACTTTTAATATCAAGGAGATAATATTACACATTAAGGAGAGCAAGCTTTTGTGTTGTTTTAAGTGGGGTGATTGAAGTTTAGAAAGGGTAACTTGCAAAGGTTACAAAGTAGTGAAACTACAACTTGAAGTGGAAGTATTTAAACTCTTGTGTGTAACATCTAGAATGAATGAACATTCAAATCATTCTTTTCCCACATCCTTCCAAACCAGACAAGAATATTAGCTGCTTTTACATTCCTCTTCACCCTCACATATTGATTTCCATTTAGCACTTTGTTTACCAAGTAATTTTTTTTTTATAAATAAACTTTTTATTTTGGAGTAATTTTAGATTTATAGAAAAGTTGCAAAGTAGTAAAGAGTGTTCCCATATACTTCTCACCTAGTTTTAACTTTCCCTAAATGTTATTATCTTACATTGTTGTGGTACATTTATAAAAACTAAGAAACCACTGTTAACTAAATTTTATTTTATTCATTTATTTTTAAAGATTTTATTTATTTGAGAGAGAGAGAACACGCATGAGGGAGAGGCAGAGGGAGGAGACTCTTTGCTGAGCAAGGAGCCCGATGCAGGACTCAATCCCAGTACCCTGGGATCATGACCTGAGCTGAAGGCAGATGCTTAACTGACTGAGCCACCCAGGTGCCCCACTATTAACTAAATTTTAGACTTTATTTGGATGCAGTTTTTCCTTTAATGTTCTTTTTTCTGTTCCAGGATCCAGTCCAAGGCACCACATTGCATTTATTTGTTATGTCTCCTTGGTCTCCTGAGAAACTGTCATAATTTCTCAGTCTTCCTTGTTTTTGATGATCTTGACACTTTTTAAGTTTATTATTTTTTTAGTAATACCTACACCCACCGTGAGGCTCAAACTCACGACCCTGAGATCGAGTCGTGTGCTCTTCCAACTGAGCCAGCTAGGCACCTTTGATCTTGACACTTTTGAGTATTGGTGGGGTATTTTGTGGAATACCCCTCAATTTGGGTTTGTCTGAAGTGTTTCTCATGATTAGGTTTTTGGAAGGAAGGCCACAGAAGTGAAATGCCCTTTTGCTACATCAAATCAGGGGTGCATAATAACTCTGGTAATGTTAACCTTCATTATTTGGCTTAAGGTGGTGTCTGCCAGGTTTGTTGAAAAAGTTCTTTCCATACTCAATTCTTTAGAAGTGAGTCACCTAGCTCCACCTACTGGAAAAGAAAGTATCAACATAAGTTATCTGGAATTCTGTAGCAAAGATTTAGCTCTTCTCCCTTGTCTACTCTTATCTAATCAGTTTATTATTATTTATTCACTCACTAATTTATTTATATCAGTATGGACTCATGGATATTTATTTTATGCTTGGGGTTGCAATCCAGTACTATGTTATTTTGTTGCTCAAATTGTTGCAACTTTGCCATTGGGAGGGAGTTCTTTCAGGCTCCTGTGTTCCTTTGACACACCCTCATCTTTTTGTTTTTTTGAGTACTGCCTTCCTTTCTGGAGCTTCAGGCTCCTTGATTTCCTGTCCCTGCATCAACATCTGGGAGCTGCGTATGCTTGTTACTCTTACCGTATTACTGCTTCTAGGTCCTCTCAGGGGACAGAGCTAGGTAATACACATTTGTGTGTACCCTTTGAATTTTAAATCTCCAATTGCTATTCATTTCTTTTTTATTATGTGTTTCATCAACAACTATTTAAACTAAAGTTTTACTGGGGTTTTGGTGGTGGTGACTACTATTTTATTCTCAGGTCTTCTTTCAATTCATTTCTCATTCTGCTGAAGAGGTCTGTAAGAAGTAAACTTTGAGTCCTTAAATATTCAACAATATCTATTTTGCCCTCAAATAGGTCAAATATTACAGAATTAAAGTTATCTCTCTCACAACATTCAAGGTATTGTTTTATTGTCTCCTAGCACCAATATCATCAAAAAGAAGGCAAATGCCAATCTGAGTCATACTCCTTTGTAGACAAATTCTCAAATGCCAGACTTGTCTTTCCTTAGCTCTTCGAAGTTTTCGTCTATTTCCTCCACTGTCTGTTCTCTCTCTTCTGGAACTCCTATTAACAATTTTGGGAGCTTCTTGAGTGATTCCTCATGTCTCATTTTTTCTCTCACATTATCTCTTGGTCTTTGTGTGCCCAGGTGGCTTGTCTTCTAGTTTACAAATTTGTTTCAACTGAGACCATTCCACTATTCAGCCCATTTAGTGAATTTCAGATTTTCACAATTTCCAAGTTGAACTTTTTTAGCAACAAATCTGGTCATATGAATTTAATGTTTTCTCTCTCTAAAGACATATTAATCTTAAAGTTGTTTTCATTCTGTATTCATATTCTCATGTGTTATCTTTTCTGTTTATTAAAATTTGGTGCCTCTCTTTCGTAGTGTTGGTTTGGCTACTCTCAGTTAACTGCTGCTTTTTGTTTCAAAAATCATTGTTCAGGGGCGCCTGGGTGGCTCAGTCAGTTAAGTGTCCAACTCTTGATCTCAGAGTCTTGAGTTCAAGCCCTGTGTTGGGTTCCAAACTGGGCGTGGAGCATGCTTAAAAAAAAAAAAATCATTGTTCAAAAACCCTTGGCTGTTAGCTATGATTACAGGGGCCTATCTCCAGTAATAGTGGAAGAGGGGCCGAATGTGGTCTTGGGCACAATGTGCCAACAGCAGTTCCTTTTCAGAGCCCGGGGCTTCCTATCCATCCTACAACTCAATATTCCCCAAACCCTACACTGCCTTTCTTGTTCCAGGAACCACACACACTGCCACAGCCTGCAGTCCAATCCCTGTGATGCCTGTTGCTTAGCACATGCCCAGAAAATATGTACTCCACCACTCTTTGTCTTCTATGAGCTCAGAGGATACAGAGCAGCCCCATCTTGTGTTCTTCTGAACATGTTCCAGATTCTTCTTTCCTCTCTCAATCCTATGCTAACTACTGCCATCTTACATAAATTTCTCAAAATTTTCTACCAATGGTACTTCTCTCATTTTCCAATGCTAATACACTTTTTTCTTTTCAGTAATTCACTTTTACAAAGGATTTAGAGTGTTAGATAAGGCAAATGTGGGTACTTGGTTCTCCATTTTGATCCCATTTGTGTCTATACTCCTAAGTAATACTGGCCTACAGATAAGGTAGAGGGGTGTGTGTATATAGACACTTTGCCAGCTGTTAGTCTGAAGATAATGTTGGCTTCATAAAATTTATTAAGTAGATCATGTCGTACTAATTTAACCTGTTCTTCGAAAGTTTGGAAAAACTCACCAGTAAAACATCATACCTATGCACCTGCAGGGTAATTTTTTTGATAACTGTTCTAATTTTTTAAGTGGTTCTTAGTCTTTTCAGAGCTTCCATCTCTTCTATTTATAAAATGCTACCACAAACGTTGCTTGTGTTAATAGTTTATAAATTCTCAAATCTTTTATTTAGAATTTTTAAAATGTACCATATAAAATTGATTTCTCTCTGTTGTAGTTTCCTTTTTACTCCAAATCTGCCCACTTTGGTTAAAAAATTTTTTTGCACATAAAGAATAAGCTCCTATATATTCATAAAACTATTATTTTTGGTTCATTAATTTCTGCCTTTATTTCTTTCCTCAGAGTTATTCATTTTTTTAACATCTTAAATTGACTTCTTAGTTGTTTCCATTTTTATTTAATATTAACAATAAAAGACTAAGACTTTTAGCCTTAGACTAAGTGCAATATAGTATTCTGGACTGGAACCTGAAACAGGAGAAGGACATTAGTAGAAAAACTGGTGAAATCCTAATCTATAGTGTAGTTAGCAGTAACTTGCTAATGTTAATTTCTAATTTTGACAAATCATTATGTAAGATATTAATCTGAGGGAAAACTGGAGAAGTACAGGAACGCTCTATACTATCTTTCCAACTTTTCTGTAAATCTAAATTATTCCAACATAATGTTTATTTAAAATAAAAAAAAACTTATAACTATCAATAACTGTAAGTTCTGTTACATGGCATTCCTACTCCAAGACTTTTTAAGTAATTTCCCACAGAATATTATTCCTTTTTATTTTGTAGTTTTAATTTCTAGTTAATAAGGTTTTTAAAATTAAAATTTAGTATTACTGAAAATACATTGGCAGAAGTGACTGTAAAATCTTCATAGTCTAGAACTTTAAGTTTTCTCTGTGGCCTTAACTTTTCTTTTCCCCTCTAGAATGATATTTAATTCTAAAACAGTAAGTGGGAAAGCATCTTATGGGATACTATGATACTATGAAAATGTGTTTACAATAACTACAGGTTTTTGGGGCTCCTGGGTGGCTCAGTCAGTTAAATGTCTGCCTTTGCCTCAGGTCATGACCCTGGGGTCCTGGGATTGAACCCCGAATCAGGCTCCCTGCTCAGCGGGGAGCCTGCTTCTCCCGCTTTCTCTGCTGCTCCCCTTGCTTGTACTCGCTCTCTAATAAATAAGTAAATAAATAAAATCTTAAAAAAAAAACTACAGTTTTTTATTGAAACTTTCTTTTCTACTTGTGAAACAAACTTAAAGGAACGTAGCAAGGAGCTTTGTGGCCTTCCATAACTGACAATGAGTCTTACCAGCTGTTGCTCCACAGGTGGTGGCACATCCTGACTGGCATAAACAATGGCAGGGTTGTAAAGACTGAACACCACAGGGTAAAACACCTTTTTACCTATAAATTAAAATATATGGTTATATCACGCAATGAAGTCATAAAACAAAAGGCTGATCAGTACTGCGTTATCAATATTTAATACTGGTATTTCTTTGGTCATATATGATGACTTTATCAATACTGTATTTTGTCCATTTTCAGGCTACCAAACATCATGCTGATTTGATGAACATAATGATGATTTTATACATATCAGTAGACCAAGCTACAAAGTTATAACCTAAAATAGACTAAAAAACAGACTAAAGGGTGTAACACACATTTACTCCCTTTGACTCTGGAGAGATACACAAAGGTATTTGCTCAGTTATTCAATAGGTGAGCTATTTATTACTCATCATTTCATCAAATTAGCAGTGACAGATGTAGGTTAACCTCTGACAATCACCAAGAACTTAGAAACATCTGTTAAATCCACCCTTCGAAATGAATCATAGAAACAGTAAATCCAAAGAATACATACAATGAACAGATTTGTACAGAATAATTAAAATACAGAACTGCAGAGAGATTTAGTAAGATTTGGAAAAGTTGGGAAGAGTTAAAGATACCTGATCTAACAGCCTCTGCAGAAAATCTTGTCATTAGTATTCAAATTGAAGCAGTGAAGGGACCTGTAAAGACTCAGGAGCCCATCTCCCCTCCACAGAGAACTCCTTGCTAAGACTGGCCTCAGTCAGACGTGATAATATGAAGTGCTCAGTAACTGTCAAGTACCTGTGGCAATGTGGCAGCCTTTCTATTACAAGATCCCTACTAGATGCTCATCTCACCTTTGTTAAAACTCACTTAGGGATGGAAGTTCAATTCTCAGTGACAAATCTATTTCTAGACATTAAAGTATTTCTTTTACATTGAGCAAATGTTTCCCTCAACTTCCACATTGTGAACTTCATACTGTCTGGTGCAACAAAAGTAAACTTAAGCCTCATTTATTCACTAGGTGCTCAAAGAGTTCCTGACAATTATCCCTCATGAAAATAATTAATAATTTGCATGGTATGAATAGTTCTACACAAAAAAACATTTACTAGGGGATTATTTTTGGCACAGAAAACTTCCTTTCACATTTAAAATAAGATTTGAGTTATAAAAATGTCAGTTGCTCATACATTTTCAAAAAATACCTACAACATAAAGCAAAGTAAATGATCCCCAAATACATAGTATGGATGCCAAGCACTCTGTATCTAGGTTTCTTCATGTGTGTGCGCCTCTGTGCTGGCACCACCTGCCTGAGGTAGAGTGCTTCTCTCACACATCTCCATGTTGTCTGCTTGGCTCTTTTTCTGATAAGTGCTGCTTCCTCCTTATCAATTTTAAAACATTTTCTTTGCTTTTGTTTATCTGGATTCAAATTTTGGCAATGGAATTTGGCCACAAGAGAACAGGGGTATGAACTGCAGAGGGGCAAATTTTCACTTTTCTACTTAATAGTCCAGTTAAAGTATGCTTAATATAACTTTAAGAAAACATAATTAACTTGATTCAAAATATGGGATGTGCTGGCACTGTTTGTTCTAAATTTCTACACTCAGCTCATCTACCAACATTTTACGCACCTGGCTCAGCATTTAACCGGCAGCTGTTAAGGAACTCGGCTGAGAAATATATATCAACATCACAGAAAAACATCAAGACCTCTCCCTTGTCCCAAGCTCGGGCACCGACATTTAGTCCTCGTCCACGATTAAATTCTTCATTCAATGAGACCAAAGTGTAATTGTGAAAGTTAGACTCACTAGGAGGAAAGCATATACAACAAAGGATAAGTCCCACTTAAAGTTTAACAACTCTCTTCTTTCAACAAGACTTACAAAATATGTTTTATACTTCAAGTATTTTATTTTGGTTCTAAAGTCATACAGGGAAAGGAAATCATCAGATTCACATGTATGATCATCATCAGGAACAGATATTACTAAATGCCCATATCTGAGGCAACATGCTGGTGGTGTGAGTTTATAAAGTGTTAAGGGGTCACTGCCCTTCAGGATCTTAAAAACTTATTGGGGAGTTAAGAAATATAAACATGGAAAAATGGCCATAATGTTTGGTAATAAACAATGCATTCCATATGAATGGTACATTCAGAGTGCTCTTGTGTTTTTCTGATCTTTGCTTACATGTCCCCTTATCAGAGGGATCCCCCTCGTACCATTTGTGAAGTTGCCCCGACCTCCTTCTCTTTAATCTTTATCCCCCTGCCCAGCTTTGCTTTCCTCAGCACCACCAGACATGTTCGTTCGAGTGTCTCCCCCCATTGGAACGTGAACTTCATGAGAGCAGGGATTATGTTTTGTTCATTACTGTGGATACAGTGCACCTCCTCAAAGAGTAGGAGTTCAATAAATATTTGCTGAATGAATGAATGAACAGCAGTTCTGAGAAAAAAGATTGCTTTTGTCTGAGAGTAGAGACTAGAGATGTTAGAAGCAGAATTTAAGTTATGCTTTGATTAAATTCCTGAATTCAGTAGTGAGTTTAAAGGTTATTTCAATTAATTATTCTCAAAGGCAAAGAGGTAAGAAAGTAGAAACATTTTAGAGAACAGGGATTAGACAAACTGGATTAGAACAAAGGGATCCTAAAATGGGAACAATGAAAGAAGACCAGAAAAGGGTCAGACTGAGGAGTGCCTTCTGTGAGAAGTTAAAGAAGTTGGTCAGTGTCCTCGAGGCAAGGAGGAGTTTTTCTGCCAGGGCAGTGGTTCTCATAGTGAAGTCCCTACACCCACAGCATCAGCCTCCCCTGGGAAAGCATCAGAAATGCAAATTCTTGGGCCCCACCCCAGACCCCTGAATCAGATACTAGGGGTGATGCTGAGCATCTGTGTCTCTCTTGGGACAAGTCACTCCAGGTGATTCTGATGTTAAAGTTGGAGAACTGCTGCGCTAGGGTATGGCCAGATCAAAAAGGGACATTTTAGGAAGATTACTCTTTATAACAGTGTAGAATGGGGAATGGAGAGATGGAAGCAAAGGCTCAAATAGTTTATAGAGTGGACTCCACATGCTCTGAATGGCCACACTGCCCTTCTCATGGGATATACATCTCTCCCTTCTTTTGGGAAAACTGCTGATTACCACCTCACACTCCCAGCACCCGGTGGAGGAACTAATAGAATACCCCAACCACAGTAATTTCCTAGGGGCGGGGACCAGACTCAAGCTGGGCCAATCACAATACCCCCACCCCACCTGGCCATAGTGACCGGCTCAAGAGTGGGCAAAACTCCTTCCCTGGGCTTTTCTCAACTGGATCTGGGAGAAAGCTCTTTCCTCTCTGATGGCAAAGCTGAGATGTGAGCCCAAAGCCGCCAACAGCCATATACCTCACATGTGGAAGAAGCCAATCTGCAACAGGAGAATGAAGTCAACATGCACAGAAAAACAGACAAGAAGACAACAAGAGAATTTTCACGGTATTCAAGTCTCTGGTTCCAGTCCCTAAGATATCAAAGCTGTATTGGTTTTCTTCCCCAAATTTGGCTGTAATAATCCCTTTAGTTTGGGAGCTATCCAAGATTCTTCCACAACACTCCCAGTTTCCTTAAGCAAGTTCAAGATGGGTTTCCATCATGTGCCACAGAGGAGTCTTGATTAATGCAGGGACAGCTTCAGTAATACCAATGTAAGTGCCTGGCACTTAGCGGGTGACCTGAAAATGGTAAAGAGGGAAGAGAAGGAAAGAAATGAAGGGAGGGGGAACCTGGTTTAGGGTGGTGGCAGCAGCGAGGAGAGGACAGGGAAGAGGTCCTGTGCAGTAAGCAAGAACTGACTAGAGGTAAAGAATGAAAGATGCTAGCTCTCAGACATTAAGCCCAGGGGATCATGAGAATGGTCTTAGTCTGGAAAGAGGGCCACCAGGAGAAGCAGCTAGTGTGTAGGGGGAAGAAAAGACAATATTTGTTTTTTATACATTTACTGTGAGAGTCCCTTCAGGGTGGGGACTGTAACACCCTCTTCTGTGCCCATCTATTCCAACCACCCCAGTCAGATTCCCGAGCAGTGTACCTGGAACATAGTTGGTGGGACTCAAGGAATGTTAGTTGAATGATTCGAGAAGAATGGCCGGCCAAATCTGGACTCTTAGGGAATGGCCACAACTAGCAGAAAGGTAAAGAAGCAGGTAAAGGATACGGAGTTGGCTTGGTCGGAAAAGACAACCTAATATCTTACATTGTAACATATTTACATTTACAAAATATATACATTTTACAAACATCAGAGGAACGTGTCAAGAAGGAAGTACTGGTTAGGCATCAAATGTAAAAAAGCGATCAAAGACGATGACAGAGAAAAGGTTGAATTTGGCAGTTAGGTCATAACTTTGGGCCCATAACTTAGAGATGAAAAGGCTGAAAAGCTATAGAATTAATAATGGAGTATTAAGGAATTACTAATTCATTCATTCAAACCTCTGAGTACCTACTATGTGCCAGGTACTATATGAGTTGCCTGATTAGAGAACTATTGCTCTATGAGGTGTAGCTATGAGAGGACAGAAACCTACCAGTAGCTACTGGGTACTATAGAGTCATGTGGTGGTGGCTTAAGGACAGGAGAGACCTAAGCATCATTTGCAGGGCAAGAAGAAGGAACTTGGGAAAATGGAAAGAAAGGTGACAAGTGAGAGAAAAGCTCAGGAGATGGTATCAAAGTGAAGGGATTAGATTTAGAGAAAGGGGAAGAGTCCAACAGAAGGGAATGAAGAAGTAATAAATGGAGGCAAATAAATAGAAGGTGGGCGGGCCACAGAGTGAGAAGGCCCAGATCATGCCAGGCTGTCTGCCAAGAGAACAGGGAAGATGAATCATTTAGAGTAGCATGAGTGAACAGAGGGGTGAAATGAGGAACTTATTAGCACCACCACTCATGTGCTCAGCCAACTTTTAAATAGCAGCTATTAAAAATTAACTCATTAAATATGTGAAATTCTCATTCTTCTAATGTTATGTATCAAGGACTTCAATTTGGACATGGCTCACCAACCTTGTGACAGATTCTAGGATAGACTTGACTTTAGATAGTCCTTCTTTACCAAAATATACCACTGTGAGATGAATTCTCTTGTCCTGATGAATACACACATCCCTAACAGAATTGAAAAATAAAGTTCATTCAAAAAAATATATAAGGCACTACTCATTCAGAAAGCAATCACATGGAGCTTTAACAAAACAAATGAGGCATTACTCATACAGAATGATACTTCATGAAGCTTTAATATAAAAGTGGTAATATTGCTGAATTATTAAAGGCATCAGAGCAAACGCGTAACAACATAAGCACATGAATATAGCCCTTGGAGGTCCATGGAAGTTGCCATATTTAAAAATATTTTTGGAACTTTTGCTTTGGTATTGCCTTCAGAAGCAAATTACAAGTTACTCAAGGAAAGAAGTCTAATCAGTTCAAAACCAAATAAATATTCAAGTTGTTGGTCAAGTTATTTTGTCTTTAAACTGGCTAATTTCAGAAATTATACCTATCATCAAGGAATAAATATTTGCCATGGCTGAGATTACTTACTGTAAAGAATAATGTAGCATCTGAAAGCAATTCCAAGAAAAGCAGTAAAAAATGCTTTAGAAAATCAGATCTCAAGTGAGCTATTTCAAACAGGCAAAACTCATTGGGAAGCATGATTTCTAGATATTCTGCTACAGAACAGCATTAACTTTTAAATCCAATGATTTCAATATGAGAATAAAGACTGGGATTATAAAGAATCAAAACTAGCATATTAAAATATTAAAAACATGGCATTAAATTAAAACAAAAAGGTAAAACTTTCCTCAAATAGCTACCCTAATACATACTTTTTTAACACTTCAGCATTTTAAAATATCCAAATTTAATGACAAAAAAAGGAAAAAATTCTTTTAAAAATTGTTATAATCTCTGCTTCTCAAGATGGAATAACTCTCATTTTTAGTAATGTTTATATTTCTAAAATTTATTTCAATTTTAAAATTCCAATTGTTCTCAAGGGAATTTTCTGGAGAAATAGCAATGTCCTATATGTTGATTGGGAAAGCAATTATGAGTGTACAGGTTTGTCAAAAGTCATGAAACCTGTATCCTTAAAATATGTGGGCTCTATTGTATGTAAATTATGCCTCAATAAAGTTATTTTTAAAAATTCAACTCATCCTAAAATGAACTCACACACAATTATAAAGGTCATCAAATATAGTTTCTAATAGTTGTCACTCTCAATTTACTTCAAAGTTTAAACTGTCAATAACACAATATATTATACATGCTTTAAAAAAAAGAGAATATCAAAAACTAAGTTTACCCAAAGTCTATAAAATTACTCTGTAATTCTAAGTAATCACACTCAGTGAAGATAAATTAAGTAAATCTGCATGAAATGTGATTTTTTTTTAGGAGTGCTTAGCCAAATCATTAAGCCCTGAGAGTTACCTGAAGTTCTGCATGAACTGCACAAATGCTTCAGTTCTTTCAGCAAGTGGCACAATGATATTAATAATTGATCTAGTAATATCAATCATCTCGCTCTTCACTTTCATGAGAGGTCCAAAAGGGCGGAAGAGGGTCACATGTCTATATTCCATAAGGTCTGCTTTCTTAAAAAAGAGTTCATACTGTGTGCCCTTATCTCTCTCGGTGCGATAATAACCTGAAGGAAAGAGTTAGGGACAAAGATGTCTCCATGTCAAAGTTTATAAATTCAATGTGAATACTGATTTTACTCAAAGATCAAAAGTACAAAACCAGACATGTAGTGTTTTTAATCATTTTGTGAAAATAATTATCTCCATTGTACAGTTGTAAACAATAATTTCTTTAAAAGGAGAGGTTAAAAAAAAAGTTCACTGCTCTATTATTAGTTAATCCATAAATATGCTCCAAATCACAATTACTCCTTTTTACATATAACTTTTTTAGTAGTAGAGCCTATCAACACAATAATCATACGATAAAAATAAATTACTTCTACCAATATTAAATTCTAGACTTGAGCGTCAAAACTTCTATTGCTTGGTTCAGTTCCATTAAATGAATGGAGTGCCTTTGTGTCACTCATTGGTGGTATAAAGAGGGCTATACAGTCCTGGTTTTGAGGAACGGTTAGTCTAGTGAGGGAGACAGAAAAATAAGGAAATAAAAACAATACAGTGATATATCTTTCACTCTACAAACACACACACACACACACACACACACACACACACACACACACACTTACTCTCTCTCTCTGAAGAGAGTGAAGTCAAAGAAAAATTAGTATAGACTTAAATATGGTGACTTGAGATACCTCCAGGAGAAAAGTTTGGAAATCTACTGGGCAATCTGATTTTTAAGTGTGACATTCAGGAAAGAGGGAAGACCTATAGATGTGGGAGTCAGTCAATATCTGGGAATAAAACAATGAACAAGATAGACCAATCCACTCTCTCCTGAGGCTTACAGCCTAAGAGGAACTACAAATCAGGAAATGGGCAACACCATATACTACGACAAGTGCTATGAGAGGGGACACAAGGTTGAGGTTACAAAAGAACACAGGAAATACTGTTATCTTAAGACTTGCAGGTTGGAGATGACTTCTAAATGAAGCAACATCTAAGCTAAAGTCTGGAAAAAGAATAGGAGTTACTGAGTAATGAGTAATTATTTTTTATTTTTGCCAGGGGGGTAGCAGAGTGGAAGAAAAGTCGGGGACAAAATATGTTCCATGCAGAGAAAAATCCTGTCAGTGAAAGAATCCAAAGAGAGTTATGAGATAAGCAGAAGCTGTAGAATATAAAACTGACATGGCTTCTTTTTTTTTAAGGCAGATGTGAAGACATTTTATACTTTAGTGAGTTATTTCCTCAGCAGCTTTCAATTCTGCCATAAGCTACAAATATGGTGAAAAGACAAAAAGCTGAGCTTGCAGAAAAATTAGAAGAGTTTTGAGAGAAACAACCCATCCAAAATTGTAGGAAGTGGCTACAATGCAAAGACAGCTGAAATATCATGGAAAAGCACAATGCTCTCCCTGATGGCCTCCAAAGGTCTCAAGGTACTACTATCTTGTAGTATAGCAAGTACTATCCACGATGATTCAAGGCCAAAGAAACTATATGTGGTATACTGTTCACAGAATCAAGCAAAGAGAACTTTCAAGAGAGATTTATATAGAAAATGGTTTTGTCATTAAATATCTAGCAGGAGGTATTAAGATGGAGATGGGTGGGGATCTGTATTTCTATCCATCAGCAAATATCTTAAGTTTACAGAAGTGTTCCTCAACTTTTGAGTCATACTCCATCTTGATATGTATACATCCCATGCCCTTTCTGCAGTCTGTATTAGGAAAACAGGTGATTTCTTTACTTTTCCAAATACCAAATATGCTTTTCAAAACTATATATGCCCCCTAGACGTTCTGACATGTGCTTCTCCTCCCCTTAAAATACAGAATAACCATCAATCTACTAAATTAAGGTTTTTTCTTTCCTTTATCAAATGGTTTTCAAATCATGAACCTTAGTTCATACATTTTGAAAAATACAAAAAAGGAACATCAAGACCAGATAAGAGAGGAATGCAAAAACATACATGTACAAATACATACATAGCCCTAAGAGCCCTTCAACTTGAGCCCTATATAGTATTCTTCTATATAAACTTAGATTTATTCTATTTCCCTGGTCCTCTATTTTATTACCGTCACATTATAACTTTTTTTAAAAAGCCACTTCAAATTCTTGGTGGAATGAAGTGGGTAAAAACTCAAATATTTCAATACTGTAAATAATGACTGACTTATATTACCAGCATAGAATAAAAGCATTGTCATACTAACGTAACTATGGACCAACATATTTTTCACATTACCTTCTATGAAGTCATTTTCATTAAATATCATTTTCTCTCCAAGGGGACCATCCTCATCTTCCTGTTCATCATCTTCATCAGGATTATTAATGACCTCCAAGCCAGCTTCAATAACTTCTACCAATTCATCTCGCTTGTCTTTTCTAACTGGCTTTTCCTCAGGATGGCGAGTGAGACCCATTTCCAACTGGAATACTTTCATTAAGGTAAAACTTTCAAAGGGAATGACTCCATACTCACTAGGTAATTTGGCTCCTATGCTAACTTCAGCTTTGTCAATTTGGGAATGAAGAAATTCTAAAAGATCACTAGGTGTTTGTTCTTTGTTGCCTTGATAGCCTATGCCATTAGCCCCTATATTTTTTCTCTCTTGCAATGATCTCATCTTCTCACTCATTTCTTGCAATTCTTGTTTTAGTTGGGCAATTTGACGTTTTAGACTGGTAGCCCTGGTTTGGTAATGTTCTTCTTGCTCCTGTAGGAGGGCTTGATAATACTCTTTACCATAATTTTCCCCAATAACACCAGGAAGAGGTGCATTTCCATCAGTCTGGGGGGCACATTCCAGAAGGTACAAAAATAATACCAAACTGCAGAGTAAAGCAAGACCCAACAGTAGCCAGTGGGTCCGCGTCTGAAGAATCAATCCTCTTCTAGGCATTCTTATTAATGTGGACTTGCCTAACAAGATAAGTTCTTTGGTTGTTCATACCTTTCGCAAAAGGTTATCAAAAATTAAAAACAAAATCAGAATTTCCATTAAAGGTACCAAGATGAACTCTGCTATAGCTTAAAAAATTTCTTCCTTCAGCAGTGAAGACTAGTTGCAGAAATGAGAAATAGTGCATACTTCCTGTATTGTTATCATGATATCCAGAATAAAGAAATCTGATCTACAGAATCAGATAAAATTCCATTATATGGGTGGTGATTTTTCTGAAAGAAACAGATAGAATCAATCAGAATCTTGTTTCCTTAGGCAGATCAAATTGTTGGTAGTTTTAGTAAACTTAGCAATGTGACTCTTATATGTAGAACACCAAGAGAAGTGCTAATACAATGTAGAATATGCAGTAAATGCTGGGAGAAAGTATTAAGAGAAATATCTTACAAAACACTAAAATGCCACATGTAATACTTTTAACCAGAATGTCTATACAACCATAACCTCCTGAATGAAACAAAGAAACATTAAAATTATGTTTAGCATACTCTGTGTTATAGAGATACTATAGTTTCTAATTATTTGAAAATCTTAACACTCGTAACTCTTTATTAACATAATATTTAGATTAATATGCCATTTCCCACCTAGAGCATATCACCATTTGGGAACTGAGTTTCCATAAATTGTTTTTGTTACATTGATAATGGCTTATTAGGGAGAGATATTTTCTTCCAGTTTATTTAATTCAAGCATTCTACTTCATTAATTTCTATGGCTGAACCCAACCAATATAAGAGCCGTACAATTAAGTGTGTATGTGAGGGGAGGGACAATTCCAAAAGGTCACAGACATTTGGAAAACACATTAAGGAACACTTTTACATCCCAAGTCCTCCCATAGATTATTTGAGCATTAGATCACATAATTCTTTCCACCGTATTACACAGCAACAGATTTCCTACAAGTCTGGAAAGGTTTAGAGTCTATTTAAAGAAAAATCATGACCATTTTAATGTTTATCTACTGGGAAAAAAAATTCAAAAACCATTTATAATGTAAAATCACACACTACTGGTTCATACCATAATCAGTTGTGTGAGCTCTTCCATATTTCTTTTAAAACTAAGGATGCTTAATTCTTTAAATAGAGAGCATTAAATTAAGAGACAGGAGGCAAAGGAGGCCTCCGCTGCAGAGAGCTTTCATTCTAACTATTTGTCAAGAAGGATATGTGATACTCCAGCAGGCTTTTTTTTTTTTTTTAAGATTTTATTTATTTATTTGTCACAGAGACACAGCAAGAGAGGTAACACAAGCACGGGGAGTAGGAGAGGGAGAAGCAGGCTTCCCGCTGAGCAGGGAGTCCGACGTGGGGCTCGATCCCAGGACCCTGGGATCATGACCTGAGCCTAAGGCAGACGCTTAAGGACTGAGCCACCCAGGCGCCCCCCAGCAGGCTTTATTAATAGAGATGGTTTCTACCAGTGCAGCAGAACCTATGGAAGATCACTGGGGAACATCAGTCCTAGTCACCTTCTTAGTGATTAGGAAAGCCTGAATGCCTTTTTCTTTTTTTTTCTTGTGGCACATCTCTGTATAAAAATGTAGGATAGATTCAAACTTCTTATAGCTAGTAGACCAAAAATGATGGACTTAACTACCCTTAGCCATTTATTACTTTCATTAACCAAATGATAACCAAGTATCATGAAAATTTTAATTCACTACAAGGAAGTTTTGATATGATGGCATCTGTTTTATTGATTGTAAAGCTTGTTTCAAGTGATGTAGGAAAAAAATAGGAAAAAAATTCAGTATAAAGAGAAGTATCCAATTAAAAAATAAGGGTGCAAAGTTAATATTAGTCCTAGGACTTTAACCATGTCTCAAAACCATAATTCTTAGGATAAGAAATGACTGGAATGTCATTATTTGAAAGATAAAACTCAGAGGTATCTCTTTTAACTATTTATAAGTTATTACTAGCCTGCTTATTAGGGAAAAGAAAGACTAAAACTGAAAATGTAGAGTCATAATTTTGTATTAGTTATTAATAAAGTAATACATATTTAACTAGGTTCCAGGTAGTTTTGTTGTAAGCATCTTTGCCACAAGCATTTTCACTGCATAGCTAATAGGCCATAAGGCAATTCTGCTGTGAAAGATTAAAAAATAACTGGCTGACATGTATCCTAGTATTTGGAAATTGATGCCTCTTTAATGAAGGAAAAAATTTTTGGGAAAAAAGAAAGTGCAATGCTGAACAAGGGCATAAATCAACAAGCAAAAAAAAAAAAGTATAACACTATGAACAAAAGACTTTGGGGGTGCCTGGGTGGCTCAGTCGTTAAGTGTCTGCCTTCGGCTCAGGTCATGATCCCAGGGTCCTGGGATAGAGCCCCACATCGGACTCCCTGCTCCGTGGGAAGCCTGCTTCTCCCTCTCCCACTCCCCCTGCTCGTGTTCCCTCTCTCGCTGTGTCTCTCTTGGGCAAATAAATAAATAAAATCTTAAAAAAGAAAAAAAAAAGCCTTTGAAGACAAGTGCGTTGGTACAATCCACAAAATAAAATCAGTTATTTGTGTAATACTACCTTGAATCTACACACATTTTAAAATAAATATTTTGTATTTTACAGCAGCCTTTTAAATTTTGTTCTTCATTTTTCATGTTTCACTATGTCCTTTTTAATAAATGTCCTTTTGTCCCCCCATGATTTTGCTTTACGGCCAATTAGCTATGCAGCAAAAATGCTTATGGCAAAGATGCTAATGGTGAAAATAGTGGAGACATGATTTAACGATACTATACTCAAACTATTTTGAAATGAAACTTGATGACAGAACTAACAGTACGTAATCTAAGTACCTCTACCTTTTATTAATATAGTACTTCATAGATTTTTTCTTTATATAGACAATATATTTTAAACTGTGAGCTGTGACCCATTTAATGGGTCATTACTAAATAAAGGATTACTGGGATGCCTGGGTGGCTCAGTTGGTTGAGCATCTGCCTTTGGCTCAGGTCATGATTCCAGGGTCCTGGAATCGAGTCCCGCATCGGGCTCCCTGCTTGGCGGGGAGCCTGCTTCTCCCCCTGTCTGCTGCTCCCCCTGCTTCTGCTCTCTCTCTCCCCGACAAATAAATAAATATCTTTAAAAAAATAAATAAAGGATTACTTTTCAATGAAAGAGAACAGGAAATACCAGTGTATACCACAAATAGTTTTGTATTGCAATTATATATATGTATATGTATGAGATCTCTATATAATATGTATTTATAAGAGGGCTGCGGTCCAAAAATCCTGAAGAATACTGGTTTATAAAGTATTTTTATACATTTCCTATGTCATCCTTTTAAAATGGTGTGGCTATTATCTTCATTTTGGATAGGAACAATAAGCTCAAAAATAAAAGGTTTAAGTAAGGTTCTATAACTATTAAGTGGTATTATTAAAGTCAAGTTCTTCATTTTCCCCTCCCTTATGCAAAATACAGGTTTTGAGATACCTTACGTGCTTATCTTTCAGTTAAATCTTTTACAATTGAATATTACCCACTGAAATGAAAGAAAAGTTGCTGTAATTACTTTAGAATATAAATGTTATTTGCATACGTCTGTGGTTGTTAAAAATAAAAGATATCAATTAAAGTCTTATTTGCCTAGTTCCTGAAGGGAACTCTTTAGCCAAATCATAGAAGACTAGATTATAACAGTTCTAAATACATTCTGTTGGAGAAAACATCCATTTTTCAGCTGTTACACCTTGATTGCTATCATTCTATGTAATGTGTTTATATCATAAATAAGGTTCATTCATAACCCAGAGTTGATCCCAAGCAACTTTCTATGCACAATTTCTTTTTTTTTTTTTTTAAGACTTTATTTATTTATTTGACAGAGAGAGGCACAGCGAGAGAGGGAACACAACCAGGGGGAGTGGAAGAGGGAGAAGCAGGCCCCCCGCAGAGGAGGGAGCCTGATGCGGGGCTCGATCCCAGGACCCTGGGATCATGACCTGAGCCGAAGGCAGACACTTAAGGACTGAGCCACCAAGGCGCCCCTGCACAAACGATTTCTAAGCAAACAGTTAAGGGCTGTGAGGAGAGAGTGAGATAACTGTGGAGATGGGAAAATGAGCTGTTAAAGATATAATACAAAATCAAAGATCTCAGAGTTGAAAGAAACCTTAGAAGCCATGCCATCAATTTTCTTACTCTTTAAGACAGATTAAAGAGACTTCCTCTATAGCCTAGAGAACAACAGGGACCAGATTTACTCTTGCACTTGAAAGAATAAAAAACCAACCAATAAAATCCAGAATCCGCCCCTCCCAATATAAAACAATGGTTTTCAAGATACTGAACATTAGGAAATAAAGGACAGTGATCCTTAGGAGAAACAAAAAACAAACAATTGCCCAGCTTACTGCCTTAGGTTCCAGGCCATATAACACAGGGAGTCCCCTCCTAAGCAGAGCCCAGCTGACTTGCTGAGTTGAAGAGATGGAGCTGACAGTCCAAAGGGACCAAGGCAGCTAGGTTGAAAGGATACAGTACCAGAGGAGAGAGCTGCACAGAGAGAGAACTCCAGAGATCTGAAGAGCACACCCTCTAGGTATTGAGCAGAGCGCTGACCAGTGCAGGCATATAAAGAAACTAACTGAAGCTAAAAAAAAAAATGAGAGGACACAGAACTCAGCATTCATACAGGGCCAGGAATAATGTGCATGTTCCCACCAGACAGGCTGGAAAACCTCAAATTCATGGGGCACTGGGTAGAATATTCAACAAGGTCTTGCCTCAGTAATGGGAAAAAATTAACTCTAGACTAAACATGGCTCTGGTCTTGCCTAACAAATCTTAAAAGCAAGATCTGAAAGGATCAAATTGTTTTCAACTGCACAACAAGCCTCAAAATATTTACAAGAATATAAAAATATCTAGCACCCAGCAAAATAAAATTCACAATGTCTGACATCCAAACAAAAATGATCGCGCATACAAAGAAAAATAAAAATACAACCCATAATGAGAATAATCAATGACTGAAACTGATCTAGAGCTGACACAGATGCTAGAATTCATAGAAAAGGACATTAAAATGGTTACAAGTGTATTTAAAAAGATATTCATTTTCTAAAAACTAAGCAGAGACACATGACATAAAAAAACAACTTCTGGAGATGAAAATGTCAATGTCTGAGATGAAAAATACACTGAATGGGATTAACAGTAGATATTTCAGAATAAAATATTAATGA